AATTCATGCAGAACCAATTCATTTCTGGCTGTGGCAGCCCTTGGAAGCACTGAGAAACATGAGATGACGTTTTCCTCTTCTTGACGTCTCAGCAGTTGTTTTCAGAGAAAACGACTGCCTGCTTGATAGCCTTCAGGCCCATTTCAGGATCCCTGCCACAAATTGATGACTTTGCAATGCAAGGGAGGGGGCGACATACTTAAGCAGCTTGTGGGAGCTGTGTACACACTCATTACCTCCCCGTGCTCCTGGTAAATGCTCTGAAAACATTCTGCTTTCCACTGGATTTCACAACTTCAATAATGTTGTCATCCCCATCAGGTAAATCCATTAGAGCAAGAGGAGGAGGAGGCCTCACACTTTCCAAAACAAACTTAAATTATATCATTTGAGGCTGATCTTGTGGCTTGAACTGAATGCCTATTTTAGAAACATTTACAGTTTAGCAGAAGTTAGCTGCAGCGCTTTTGCTTTTTGCTTTGTTCGGAAACTGCCAAACAAAACAGCCAAGTGCTTTGGGTTTCTTTTTCCAGTATTTGAATTGTAGGCTGCACCCCACTGAGGTCATACAACCCAGCTTTTTGTTCGGAGGGGATAGTTCTCAAACCTTTCTCCCTCTGCTGTTATGTTTGGCCAAGAATCCTCTCTAAAACATTTTTTTTTACTTTATTTTTGCAACTAGTGGTGGGGAACAGCATATATCTTTTCACAGTGGGGCAAAGAGATTACTCTAGGGACTCACAGTGTGTTTCCAAGCTTGGTTCGAAGCACACTGGCTTAAAATGTTAAAGCTCTGCATGGGTTAGGAATCAAATAGATGTCTGACCACCCACTCCTGCACCAAGATGCCCCCTGATAGGACTGCTGTCCAATGCTGAAAATGGCAGTACTTGGTACCAGGGCAGATCCTTTTGTGAGGTAATGAAATTCACGCATAGTTCACATATTATCAGTCCACACACTGTCTTGCTAGAGAAAGAAAATATGACACATAGATGACCAATAAAGAACTCTTCGTAATGTAGGACATATATATACAATAATGTGATCAGTTGCATTGAGTCACACAATGTCCTTTTTAAGAGACCTGCACAGCTTAAGTCTGAAAATGCAACTATAATCAAAACTCCCAGGCTCAGCTAGCTACCCGGTATGGCCCAACCAATCAGCTTCGTGCTCTGCATTTCACAGTTAACACACACACCAAGTGATTTCTTACATGCCTCAAAACCTTTTAGTATGAGTCTTTGCAATGCCTCCACCTGGTACCATGAACACTTTCAGTGATATACCAGGAATAAAGTATGTATTCCCAGGTTTTTAAGGACTGATATGGTTAGCATTTCAAACTTAGAGCAATTTGCTTCTGAATGTTGGTGTTCATTGTGGTACTTTCTTTGTCACTTTAAAAAAAAGCCCCCCCCCCCTCCCCAGCTGCTTTGCTAGCCTTGGGATGTATCAAAAGTGGACTTACTTTTTTTTGTACACTAGCCTCAGGAGGATCTATTTATTCACGGTCTTGCCAATTGTGTTTTCAAAAGGTCTGGAGAAAATGTGTTTGCAGCACTTTCCACGCCTGTTCCCTTGGGTTTCAGCATTCATAACCTTGAGCTGAGTTTTGTTTTTTGTAAAGATGATTACTTTCCATCAGGAGAAAGGTTTGGCTCAATTGAGCATTCAGTTAATTCAGCAGCAGGAGAAGAGAGGAGGGTGTGGTACTGTGCCCTTCCCAGTAAGGCTTAGGCAAAAGCAAACTGATTCAGCATTTCTTAAGTTTTGTGCTCTTCCTCTTTGTGTTCTTCCTCTTCACTATTTTGAACATTCTCCTGTGTTGCTGTGTCCGCATGCACCAGTTTCCATCTGTGAAATGTAGGATGATATGGTATAGACTTGTTATGAACTGCATGCTACTCTTAGAGGCCTAAGTACAGAAAAGGTCATCCCCAGAAATCTGGTTGCCAAGAGATGGAAAGATGAGCACGCAATGCAGAATCTTGGGTTGCTGTGAGAATCTTGTTGCACAGTCCCTATTTAGTATAGACCCATTGACTAAATTATTGAATAGTGAATTAATACATGTGGAATAATTACCATTTGTGTTGGTGGTTTGACGGTTTGCACCCATGAAAAATATGGTATTCAAGGCAGAGCATGACTTTGTATACTTTGAATGTATAAACTCACACTGTATTTTATAAAAATGGGCAACAAACCAGAACATGGTAGAACAATTACCACAGTTTGAAAAGAGGGTCACCTTGGGCCTAGGAAATTGGAAAAAGAGCATTCTTATCATAATGGAGAGGATGGCCTTTGTGGTCTCTTTGAATTCTATGAGTCTATGGTTTCTCAGAGAAAAGCCCTTCACATTAACTTATGTGCTTATGCAGAAACAATCTTGCTATCTATGATGTCCCTACCTCTCCTTTCCCTGTAGGATATTCCATGTTGCAAAGCAAGGAGATCATTCCTGTAGCAGCCATCAGTCTGTTGCCCCCGCTGCTTGTTGCCATCATGATAATCGTGACGTTTTACCTCTGCCGAACCCATAGACAGAGAAGGAGAGCCAAGGAATGGACCCAGAAACAATCACAGCGTCATACCTTGCCTGAGTCAAGCAGAGCCACTGGCTATGAAGGGATATCATCTGTCTATGTAGACAACCACCCTGCTGTGCACTCAGCTTGTGCCAGCAATATTGACTACGGCACTGAACTTTTGCCCATTGAGCTCGATGCAAGAGTAGGGAAAGGGCAGTTTGCAGAAGTATGGAGAGCAAAACTCAAGCGTGTCTCTTCAAGCGACCAGTATGAAACGGTGGCAGTCAAGATTTTTCCTTGTGAGGAGTATACTTCATGGAGAAATGAAAGCCAGATCTTTCGAGATGCCAACTTTAAACATGATGGCGTTCTTCAGTTCCTCGCAGCGGAGGAGAGACATTTGGGCCTCCAGAAGGAATACTGGCTCATCACGGCCTATCACAGTCAGGGAAACCTCAAGGATTATTTGTCAAGGAATATTCTGAGCTGGAGAGACTTGCAAAAGATAGCTGGGTCCATTGTGAATGGCGTGGCCCACTTACACAGCGACTATACTGCTTGCGGCCATCCAAAGATCCCCATTGCCCATCGGGACATCAAAAGTACCAACATTCTGATGAAAAGTGGTCAGGAATGTGTACTCTGTGATTTTGGAATTGCTTTGAGGCTGGATCCGTCACTGTCAGTGGAAGAGTTTGCTAACAGCGGACAGGTAAGTGCTGTAGAGTGAAACTGGAAAAGCAGTTAATTCTGCTTGATGGAAAGTGGAAAGGCCTTCATAATCTCCTTCACACATGTAGAACGGGAGAAGTCACACTACTGGTTCTGCTCCCAAGATGGTGCAGCAACTCTGTCTCATCTCATCCCAGTTTCCCCACATTGAGCATGAATATCTGCAAAAGGGACTCCCAAATAGATAGTCTTTCACGAGGTCAGAAACACTACATTATGTGATTTCTAGATGCTTAAAGCTCAATGCAGAAATTTTGCTCTTCATTTGGGACTTTGCCTTTGGAAGCTTTAGCCAGCAGGACTAGTGATAAGGGATTGTGGGAATGGTAGTCCGAAGCATGGCAGGGGTAGGACTGTCTGACCCTTGTGGTCACTTCCAACTCTCTAATTCAATGATCTGTTGAATAAGACTCAATGTGGCTCACACATGAGTTAAAACATGATACAGAAATTAAAAATTAACAGTAAAAATTGAAATAGTATTGGATAACAAATCATGTTCTAACTGTAATAATTTTAAAGTGATATTTTCTGAAAATATGATTTCTGGAGTATGTGATTTTAACATTTGTATTAATATGTTTTTAACTCCATGTTTTAGTTCTCTAAATGTTGTTACTTTTTATGATCTCATTGATAGTTATATGTTATGGTTGCTCTATGTTAGGTTTTATATGTATGTGAGACATTAAATTCTGGCATAAATATGTTGGAAACAACTTTGAGTCCCCTTCTGGGGTGAGAAAAGCAGTATACAAGCGAAGTAAGTAAATAAATAAATCAATAAATAAATGTTAAACCATAATAAGAACATTAAAAATGCAATGCAAGTACACATGTCTACATAACTAGGTAGCCACCAAATACCTGTTCAGCTAAAATGGCCAAAAGAGAGCAAGGAGAGGATGAGACAGGCTTCCAATTGCAGAATGTTCTGTTCAAAAGGCTCTCTCTCCTGCATCCTCACCAAATGTTCTTGTGAAGGTAGTGGGACTTAGAAGGCCCACTCCTAAGGATCTTAAAAATTGCCCAGGCTCATACAGCAAAAATTAGTCTTTCGGAAAATCTGGTCCTAGCCCATCTAGGGCTTTATATCCTAACCAGCACTTTGAATTGTCCCAGAAATTGTCCCAGTGTAGTTTCAGCAAGGGAGCTATGTGTTTCCTGGAACCAGCCAGTCACCACTCTAGCTGACCCATCCCATGTATTACCGTATCCCAGACAGAAGGCAATCAAGCTATATGCTATTACAATCTGCCCATATCCCACAAATAGGTGGAAGGTCCTCAATTCACTCCAATCCAAAGGCTCTCCTGAAGTCTGTAGGAGTAGCTATCATTCCTCCACCTTCAAGCAAATGGACCACAAACAGCTAAAACTGTAGTCACTTTCAATTTCATTTTTTTTTTGGCTGCTCATCAGCGAATTCTATGAAAAGGTGCAGCCCACCATGATTCTTTTGTGTGGTCTAAACAAATTATCAATACACTTTGAAAAGAGGCCCCAGGGCTTGTTTGTGCAACAGCAGCAAAGGATCCTTTTCGTGACTCATTATACAGAGAGTTTGAGGAGAGCTAGGAGTTGGTGGATACATAACTTTTACTCCTCTCTCCTGTTTTGTATTCAGATCGGCCTTTTCACAAAACAGGTCACCATAGAAAAGCTCACAGAGGAGTGTGTGGGAGTGCTTGGAGCAGAAAACAGACCACAGTTGGAGCTAAGCAGTCCCATCTCTAGGCCCAGTCCCTCTCAGTTCAGGCTCACAGCTGCCAAAGACTTTTTTGTGAAAACACAAAATTGTGGGATGTTCTCATTTTTGTCTTGTATCTAATTTGGCCCTTAATCTGCACTTAGATCCATGATACCATTCTTCAGAATGAAGGGTTACCAAGTGAAATAAGGGACAGGACTCCTATAGCTTTAGTAGTTAGGTGGAAGAGGAAATTTTCATACAAGCAACATCTTCTGCAAAACAATTAAAGATAGAGTCTTCAATTAAGTCTCCAATCTTCATTTTGACAACTCTGTATGAGAATAGTCCAGCTCTACACATAATAAATGTATTGTTGGAGGCTTTCATGGCCGGAATCACTGGGTTGTTGTAGGTTTTTCGGGCTGTGTGGCCATGTTCTAGAAGCATCCTGACGTTTCGCCTGCATCTGTAGCAAACATCCTCAGAGGTTGCGAGGTTTGTTGGAAACTAGGAAGATTGGGTTTATATATCTGTGAAAGGTCCACACAACCTCTGAGGATTCTTGCCACAGATGCAGGCGAAACGTCAGGAGAGAATGCTTCTAGAACATGGCCATACAGCCTGAACAACCTAGAACCCACAAAATAAATGTTAAAAACATTCATAACTATCACAAATATTATCATAGATCAGCTGTGGGAATTTAAGACAAAATTAAAGACTCGTCTCCTCTGGCAGGTCTACCGGGTTAATTTTAAGTTGTGAATTTTAATCTGCATTTTATCAGTGGATTTTAGCTTGTATTTTAACTCTGTGTATCTTGTTGGATGTCATTTAATAGCGCTTTATCTCTTGTTCAATTATGTTGGAATTTTTTTAAAAAACGGATCTCTGAAGTTGTTAACAGAAATCGTCTGCAATATAAAGTCCTGCTTATAAGTCAGATGTTATAATGCAGCGTAGCTTCCTTTAGCCTCCAAGCAACATGGTCTCACTCATATATACATACTGATCTCTTAAAATCTATGACTAGGTGGGTACAGCTAGATATATGGCTCCTGAGGTCTTGGAATCCAGAGTGAATCTTGAAGATCTGGAATCCTTCAAACAAATGGATGTCTACTCCATGGCTTTGGTGTTATGGGAGATAGCCTCCAGGTGTGATGTTATAGGAGGTAAGAGACTCTCTACAGTTGTTATCCTCCAAGTCCCGCTTCTTTGCATACATAATGGGGAAGCACTTGTCTACTCTCCAAAAATGATTAGATTACAACTTCCATCCTTGAAGACCACTACCCTTATTTTCTATGATGGATGAGAAATTAAATTCAACTTCCCTCTGACAATACAAATCTAATTCTGCAAGATATTACAGTAGAATGAACATACCTGACTGCTGGTCAGTGAAGCTTCTAAAAATTATGATATTGGCTGCTTCTTCCAGATTCTCACTTTCCACTAGTATCACTTTCTGCTCACTTTCCACATATTTTCATAGATTGTTCTTATCAGGATTGCTGAAAGTGAGGGATGATCTCTGGCAATTTTTCCATATTTTTTTAACTTTCGCGGTGATCCTGTGCCCCTAATGCCAGTGAATGTAGAGGGTCTGTTGTAATACAGCTTCAGAAGGCTCCCAAAGACCAAGCACTGTATTTCCACTAAGAAATAATGGTTACAACATTATCATATTACAAGAGATATTGCTAAAAGATCACTCCTCACTTTAGATATTAAATTATTATCTTGGAGAAACCAGCTGGAATGTCAGAAATATTATATTCTATTGATGATGTTAACAATGATGTCTTACTTTCTTCCAAGAATGTCTTACTTTCTTCCAAATAGCCTTGACTGTAAGAGCTATTCAGCAGTGGAACTCTCTGCCTCAGAGTATATGGAAGCTCATTCCTTGAAAGCTTTTAAACAGAGGTTGGTTGGCCATCTGTCAGGGGTACTTTGTGCTTTTCCTGCATGGCAGAGGGTTGGACTAGATGGTCCATGTGGCTTCTTCCAACTCTATGACTCTAGATAATGCCAAACTTGCAGCTAATGAATAAAAACAGTATGTTTACTTGGTGCTAATTTTAATTCTAGACCTTGGTTCAAATTCTTTAGGCCCGGTGATGGAGCAGACACTTTGCAGTAAATAAAGGACCCATATTCACCTCCCAACATATCTGGGTTGGGATGGTGAGGGGCTGGAAGAATGGGTAAGCAGGGATTAAGTTAGAAAAGATTAACCCAGAAACAAACTCCACAATGCCCTTCTCATACTACTGGTTTTATCCATAATTGTTTCTATGCTGGGTCTTCCTCTGTTTTGTATTTCACAGGCAGAGGAAGACCCAACGTAATTACTCTGTGAAACAAGCATCCAATAACAAATATGCATTCTGTCTGTGATCTATACCAACACTTCTTTTTTTAATAGAGGTTAAGAGTTATGAGCTACCATTTCAAGCAAAGATCCGGGAACAGCTGTGTATGGAAGTAATGAGAGATATTGTACTGCATGGCCGAGGGCGTCCTGAGATACCAAGTAACTGGCTGGTACATCAGGTAAGCTATAAAGCGAGCAACATGTAACTCCCAGAGAAGTAATTTTTGTTGCTCCCACTGCCTATGGAATTGCAGAACCAAAATATAGTGCCAGCAACAGAAGCGAAAGAGTTGGTGTAAACTGGAGCTTTGTGGTATGGAAAGACATCCTGGATACTTCCAATATTAGAGGCTCAACACCACGGTCACTGAAGTGGTGACAAGAACGGGAATGATGCTACTACTCATGAGTAGGTTGATGTACCCTTCCCCTCCACAAAAACAGTTGCCTACACCTGTCATAATGAAATCAGAAACAAAGGCCATTTTCACATTGTAGGATGCAAAACTATTTCCAACGGTATGAATGTAAGCATTGCCTTATGTCATTCTACGATGGCAATTCTGGGAAATGTGGAAAACTCCCTGCAGGTGTTTTCTTGACAAGATTTGTTTAGAAAGGGTTTGCCTTTGCCTTCCTATCTCCTTTAGTGCTAAATCTGGTGGGAAACTCTGCTGTGTAGAGCCATGCACCCCTCTGCATCAAGAAAGTAGTCTGTTTCCTTCCTTTGCAGAGGAGTGAAGTCTGGTTACGTTTCCTTCCTCAGAGGAACGAGTCCATTTCTTTATCTGTGGAGAGAAGAGACCAAAGGCCAAATCCATTTCTTTCCCCAAAAGATTGTGTCTCCTTGCTCAGTGAACAGAAATGCAGCCAGGTTTTGGTCACTTTGCTCTGGACTCCTTTCTCAGTGGACAGTAGTGCAGCCAGACTTCCATCACTTCTCTCCACACAGGGAGGAGACAAACTTTTCTCTTGATGAAGAGAGGCATAGGAGTGCATTAAGCCCGGTTTCTCAGGAAGGAGACTGCTTTTGTGAGCTCATTGTGGTCTACCAGGTCCTCTATTGCTCTCCCTGTCATACCTGGAGGGGGGCTTTGCATATAACAGAAACCATCTAACACAAACTCATGTAATATGTGAAACTGCTTTCCTTACAATCAGGCAGAATTAAAATCAGAGCTGGAAACAAGGTAATCTGATATAATGCTTATTCTGAAGTCAAACTACTTTCTTTTCCTCCAGCTTCAGGTTGCTAACCTCACATCTGTCTTGTTTATTGCAGGGAATGCATTTTTTCTGTGACACTATTACAGAATGCTGGGATCATGACCCTGAAGCTAGGCTCACGGCACACTGTGTAGCAGAGCGGCTTAACCTGATAGCACAGACAGATTGTGACGACATCCTCAACAACAACAGCATTGACAATGAGACCAACAAAATGGGATGTCCAAGAGAAGAAAATCAAAATAGCAATAAGGACATCCAGTGACTGAAGGACTACAAAGAATAGGTGCACTTATGGGCACACCACTATACAAAACTATACCCAAGGCCCCACTATTTAGATTCCTGAAGGAATTAAAACATGGATTTGTAAGAGCCTGGCTGGCATTCTGTTGGTAATGTACACATGCATAGTTTCTCCTACAGAAGCAGTTGTATGCAATCAATGTGCCTGTATACTACACGTTTGTATTGCAGTTGTACATTTTACATTTCTTTGCCTGCTAAGTTGCACAGTCTTGTAATCCACTAATGCACAACTATCACAAACATTTTTTTCTCTGTCCCAGGTGGTTTTGAAAATGCTCAGAACAGATAAAAGGGAAGAGGGTGGCAGGCAGCTATAATGGGACGGTGATGTAAGACATTTACACCTGCATGAATTGAAAGCCCATTCCTGCAATATTAGTTGTAAGCCACTAGTATCAAATAGCATTTTCCTTTTAAAAATTAGCTACTGACGCATTATCTTAAATATTTATTCATTATGTGGGGAAAACCAGAATCTCAACCCTAGCTTAAGAAATCATCAGAAAAGAACAGGTATGTCAAATCGGGTGAAAGACAAAAAAACCCCTTTTTTAGTAATTTTTTTTACTATAATCTTAAACATTTTAAACAGCGTTGTTACATAATTCAGTGATATAAAGCATTGCCACTATAATACTGGGTTTCAACAGGAAAGGAACACAACTCAGTCCTGAAGTGTCTTCTGTAATCTTCTTTCCTTCATTTTTAATAACTAGGATATTTTCTCATTCCTAGTCAAAGCCCACATTTTATCTAACCAGGAGAGGGTGTCTTACTTGTCCATACAGAAAGGCTAGATTCCAAAGGGATGAACGTAAGTCTCCAGGACTTTTCAGCGCCTCTTTTTTCTCACAAGAGTGCCATAGGCTGCTCAAATTCCATTAATGCAGAAGTGAGTATCATGCCCCACCACAGGTGTTTCTAAACTAGTGTCCAGAAACCCTAGCCACTGCTAGTACAACCAATGGCAAGGAATGCTGGGAACTGCAGTTTAACAGGACCTGGCCATCTGTCAGGTGTGCCTTGATTCTGTGATCCTGCATCGCAGGAGGACTGGACTGGATGGCCCTTGTGGTCTCTTTCAGGTCTGTGATTCTATGATCTTGAGTAATGCAAAATTCCCATCCCTAAACAATCAGATGGCAGGGTACAATATGTTTCATCACGTCAGACAAGGGAACAGGAACATATCCAGAAGACCTTTATGCATCCAGATGCTTTAGATACAAGCATGACATGGTCATGACCTAATATTGCAACTGGCAGTATACCTGAAATGCTGTTCTATGGAAATCTATGGGATTTATACATCATACAAAATAATACAAATATTTATTTTCACAGTGAACTACAAAGGCTCTTTTAGGACACTGCTTATTGTTCTACTATTGGCTGTTAGATGGTAGAACAGACAAATGCCCACTTCCCTTGCTTGCACTGGCAGTCAAGTCATATTTTGTATAGGTTAAAACAATTGTAACGACGGAGGTTGTGGGGTTGGGGTTTGGAGATAAGGCACTGTCCCAAAAAATAATTCTGCCTCCTCCCTGCATGACATTTTTGTCTCCTGGTTTCTAATGTTTCAGAAAGTGAGACACTCAAAATCACTCACATCTAGAACTCATACATTTGCTGTGTTCACATTACTTCGGCGACTCTGCTTGTCCCCTTCTCTCCCCCCCCCCCCCCCCCGACAAACTTTTTTTGATGTTATAACTGCAGTTCAAAATGCTCAGTTGAAGTTTCCCGTTATTTCAATACTGAAGGAAAACTTTATGGGGGAAAATTTATTTTTTCGAGAAGGGAGAATGCTCTTATTTGGCTGCTTTCCCCTGCAGCAACACCTCTGATGGTAACATTCATGTTAATTGTGATCTTGTTAATTATTCCACAGGATGACCATATCCTACTAGCAAAGCGCCTGATGCAATCTGTGAAGAAAAAGTGGTTCAAAACCATTTTGTTAAAAAAATATATTCAACCATAAAAAGGGAAGGGGATGAGGATATTATAAGCAAAGAAATGGAGGAGGACACTAACAGCCAATAAAGTGTGAGCTTGAAATCTAGATTTCACAATCTAAGGACCAATGTGTCACCAGCATGGACTTCATAATGAAATTCTTATGAAAGCAGACAAAGCAAGTTGTTAATTTTGGAAGCTTTATTTCTTCCCCTCCCCACTTCTCACACATGGAATTGTACACTACTCGCATTAAGATTTCAGTGCATTTCACAGCAAAAGAAAAAAAGGTACAAGGATATCTCAACACTTGTACATAAAAACCCCAGCTTCTTTCTCTGCACACGTTTAGGTCTTTGTGTAAAATGAGTTAGGTTTATTTAACCACTCTAGAATCCAGTCGGGTACTTCTCTGAATATGGAAGGGGGGAAAAATCAAAACACTTGACCAGCACACACAGAATTCATACGTTTTTCATGATGGTAGGAAGAGGCCCCCACTGTTGACAAGAACCAGAAATCGACAGATTATGATATTTACACTGATTGGAAGACTACATCAGAAGAGACGGAGTAAGGCACCACTCTTAGAAAAATTAAGGTAGCTTGTAGTAATAACAAGAATGAAAGCCAGAAATCAGTACTATTCTTAATTGCCAGCAATTCTTAGACTTCAATAAAACATTGGTATCGTAAAAAACGAAGAACATTTTTGCCTGAACATGGCTTCCTGATATCAGATTGCATCTGGCTCTGCATGCAGTCTCATAGCAAAAAACAAGCCTTTTCAGGTGCAATAGAAAAAGCAAAGTCACAGGTCTTTGTACTCAATGGGCACACACAGGTGTTTGACTTTGAATATACAGCGAAGACAAATGGGATTACTTGCCTGGACGGCTTATAACACTGACTCTATCTCAGAGGGGATTCAAGGAGAAGGGGAGTGCGGGTAGGGCGTTAAAGGAAACCAACACAGTTTTTCTGAAAAAGCTGCATCATTCAGGCCTTGGTCTTTTAAGAAAGAGAGCCTCTTTGTATTATTTACAATATAAAGCAGTAATGAATAGTTCATTAAGGACATGAGGCTAAATCTGGGTCTGAAAATTACTCTAATTTTTTAGCCCTGTCCTCACCTTCCTCTCCACTGAATTCTTCCAGATACAGGGGAAAAAACCCAGTTACATCTTTCATTTTAGGTTTTTTAAAAAAGATGTGGCTTACATGAATCCCGCATTGTTCCACAGCCATGCACATATTGCCTCTGAAGAATATATATTTTAGAAAGTATTAAGTCCTGATCCAGACAGTTCATAACACTGATTCCAAGGTCAAACTTATCAAAGCCTCCTCTTCAATGTTTCCAGTGAGAGTTATTCAGAGCAGCAAAAGACAGCCCCCCTCCCCCTTTTACATGGGCACTGAGTAGTAGTTCAGTAATGAGTGGAAACTGAAGCCTAGTTTCTGAAACACGGTTCAGGTCTTACTCCAGAGGTAAATCCACTTGGGTAAAACAGCACAGCAGCTCTGAATATCACTGCTTCTAGGAGCAGGATTTTTTTTGTCATTTTTGTTGTTTTTAAAAAACACTTTAGGCAGCTTTTGCAGCAGGGTGTGCTTAGAAAGAATATACAGTTCAGATATATAGAAACAATATACAGTTCAGATAAAATCTTGAGCGTTATATAAAAATGTTTTTGGGGGACGGGGAAACGCATCTGGCAAGATTCTCTTTCTCGCTACCTTTAGTCTTGCTGCAACTTTAAAGTGCCCTAGCCGTTTTATGCCTTTATATGCTTACTTAGTTTTGTGCAATTATATAAAAATCCCCAAGGACTCTGAAGTGAGATACAGCATTTTGGAAGTTGCAGGGATTAGACATGTGTGAAGATTACTGTTGATCAAACTCCATCTAATTGTTGTCCACTTCTTGATTTTGTATGGCAGCCATTCTTTTCCAAAGGGGGTTATAATAAACCCAACCATCTCCCTGCAATTCAAATAGAAAAGGGGTATCTGTTAAATAAAAATTATTTCTATAAGTTCCACAGTAAATGTTAAGTGTCTTTTACATCAAATGATATACAACCAAGGCAAACAGCAGCTGACTCTAGAGTCCCTTACTGTGGATGTAAGAAAAGCAGAACAGAGTGATATGGGGAAGTGCACAAGTGTACCTTCCCAGCTACCCTCAGCATGTTAGAAAGTATATCATTACACATTTGACAATCAAAATGGAAATTATAAGAAAAGTAAGGCATTTCGGAAGAAGTCTACAATGATCTCTAGAAGGTTCAAAATATTTTTCTTTACTTATGTAAGGCATACCTGACTTGGTTGCTTTTACAGATAGTCTTAGTGTGTATAATGTATAAAAAAAGGGGACAGCTAGAAAGACACAGCTCCATCATGTCTCATGCACCATCAGATGGGAGCCCCTCTCAGCAACTCTATCTACCACTCTGCAGCCACAGAGTGAAGAAGGGCAGCCAGGAAGGTACAGCTCCATTGTGTCTTGTCCACCAGCAGTTGGGATCGAGTCCGGGAAATGATGGAAGGACAAGTGGCTATAGCAGGTATGAGCAAACTTCAGCTCTCTATGTGTTTTGGACTTCAACTCTCACAATTCCTATCAGCTGTCAGGAAGCCCCATTGGCAAAGTGGGTTAAACTGCTGAGCTGCTGAACTTCCTGACTGAAAGGTCGGCAGTTCAAATCTGGGATGCGGAGTGAGCTCCCGCTGTTAGGTCCAGCTTCTGCCAACCTAATAGCTTGAAAACATGCAAAGTGAGTAGATCGTATTTGTTTTCCTCAATAAACTATTTGGCTAGTAATACTGGACTCATCCCACTCCGGCGGGAAGTTAACAGTGCTCCATGCAGTCATGCCAGCCCCATGACCTAGGAGGTGTCTACAGACAACACTGGCTCTTTGGCTTAGAAATGGAGATGCGCACCACCCTCCAGAGTCAGACATGGCTAGATTTAAAGTCAGGGGAAACCTTTATCTTTACCTTAGGACACAGCTAAGAAATCCATGAACTACAAAGATAGCCAAAGGATACCCAGAGTTTGAGAGAATTATTTTGTTCAACTTTTTTGGGTAAACTCTGACTGCAGTAGAGTTTGTTTTGCATACTGGTTAAGAGTATGAGTAACTCTAGGTAGGCCCTACTCTTTCAGTCTCGATCTTCTGCCCAAGCCCCACCATCACACTATGAAATGGGCAGAATGTCACTTATGGAAGACATCTCCAATTCCCATACCATGCTGCATATCAGTTTTAGGTAATCAAGATGAATGCTTTGCAAGCTTTCCATAGAGTAAGCACACAGCGACAACCTCTTCAGAGGTTAGAAGGTCTGGATATTTATGAATGCAAAGTTCCATTTAGTTACTTACATCTTTAACAAAATACTTCGTCTGCCAGGGTGTGCCTGTCTCAGCTCGAAGCCGCTCCTCATTTCTCTGCTGTTCCTCAAGGGCTTTCTTATGCTCTGTTGCCTTGTCAATGTCCCCATCCCTCAAGGATTCTGTCACATGCTGCCACAGTTTCCTGCATTATAAGGGCTACAATCGGTTACAAGCTCTCTCAGCAAATCAGTGAAATGCCAGTATCCACTTTCTTTCTTACAAGTGAGGATAATTCAAACTACTATCTCCCTTTATTGTCAGGTGGACAGAAAGAGGTGGACTAGAAGGCAGGCAAATGGAAATGCTAGTTCCCAAAAGTACCTCTGAATGGATACTTTTCGGTGCAATTTAAAATACATCTGTCATACAGCTCAACAGTTAAGACATACAGAACAGAAAGAACCTCAACCCAGTTCTGAAATTCACTATGTTCTAGTGTGAATACATCCCAATATGAAACGAGTACCGGTAATTCCATAATCAGCAACAGAAGAACACTTAATGCTACCATTTGAAACAGTATTAGTTGAAGACAATGCAGTGTAATAGATAATCATGGAATTATGAAAGAACGAAACATGGAACGGTTTAGATGATGCTACTGGAAAATGTGATTAACAAGAAGACATTCGCAATTATATGTTTTTAATGGTTTTTTGTATTTAATGGTTTTTTGTATGTATTTTTATAATGTTTTCTAAGTGTTTTAATTGTATTTATGATTGTTGTGGCATTGAATTGTTGCCAGTTTGTAAGCTGCCTTGAGTCGCCTTCGGGCTGAGAAAGGCGGGATAAAAATAAATTAAATAAATAAATAGTACTGTTCAAAGTGGTGGCTCCTGGACTGGTTGTGATCTAGGAGGTATAACTGGCTCAATTACAAGTGAAAATAATTCACAACTAATGGAGCCAAATGCAGGAGAAATGCTACCAAGATGAATGAAAATTCTGCACTAAGGTGATACTGCAACCTCTATAAATATAAAGGTAATTCTGCAACCTCTATAAATACTTATAGATAGTGTACATTGGTTTATTTTCATTTTTTTCTGATTTTGTTAGCCATGGCAAAAAAGGACTAAGGTGAAGAGGTGGAGTTCTGCTCTATCATTGCCTCAGGGAATAATGTTCAGTCCAGTTTTTAGCATTTCTGATTTTTAACCAGGCATTGCTCACCTCATTTCTAAAAATGCCTATTTAGCCCTAAAATGTAGAAGCCTGCTTCTCTGAAATATAAAGGCTCAATATGTCTGAATTACAAAATTATATAATTTATGTAGTTTAAGCCTCTGGCAATGCAGAAATCCACAACTAAACTGTACCTTGTGGCTCTTATTCCTGGTTCATTATAAAGCAACAGATTCCTGGCTACTCTAATGGAACCATCAGCTCAAGAAGTGCTGCTGCTTAATCCTACATTAGTGACTGGGAAGCATTGTACCGTCCAAGATTTAAGCTGACCTTGCATGTGTCATTGAAACCTGGCTGAATGAATAGTTGGGTGTCAACCTGTCAATATCATCAACTTTCCGAGAGCAGCGGTAAGCCAAATCTGACAAGCAGGGAGATAGAGTTGCATTGATCTATTGCCAGTCTATCCTTCTACTGAGGTAACCTGTCTATCAGTTTACAAGATTTGAGTGTAAAGGCCCAATGATTATGCAATGAGACGTGACTGGTACACCTCCAGATGCTCAGCTTCTATATGAGCCTGTCTGGAATCTGAAATCCTCAGTGGGGGGCCTACTGCATGTCCCACCACTACGGGAGGCTAGATTCGTCAATACACAGGACAGTACTTTCTCTGTAGAAGCACCTTAGCTGCAGAAGTCAAGGTTGGTTCCATTTGTCTTATTCTTCTCAGGGCAGCGAAGACTGGATTATATTACATTGATTTAGCTTTACTTTAAAAACATTTTAAACCTGTTTTTATATTTCTATTTATTATACATTGTTCTGGAAGCCCTGGCAGGCTGAACAGTGACAAACAAACAAAAAATGACACTTCTGAGATACTTGGAAGATTACGGTGGGATAGGAAATGGAAATCTTTCTAGCAATATACTGCATCAATCAATCCAACTGATTTAAAAAAATTATTTTCTTTTAACACTACACTCCAGTAAGATGTAAAAGTCCAGTCTAAGATCTGCATTGACTTTAGGCATTTATCAAGATTCTGGAAAAGATTGTTAAGGAAGCGGTCTGCAAACACTTAGAAACAAATGCAGTCATCGCTAATAGTCAACATGGATTTATCAAAAACAAGTCATGCCAGACTAATCTGATCTCTTTCTTTGATAGAGCTACAAGCTGGGTAGATGCGGGGAATGCCGTGGATGTAGCGTACCTGGATTTCAGTAAGGCCTTCGACAAGGTCCCCCATGACCTTCTGGCAAGGAAACTAGTCCAATGTGGGCTAGGCAAAACTACGGTGAGGTGGATCTGTAATTGGTTAAGTGGACGAACACAGAGAGTGCTCACTAATGCTTCCTCTTCATCTTTGAAAGAAGTGACAAGTGGAGTGCCGCAGGGTTCCGTCCTGGGCCCGGTCCTGTTCAACATCTTTATTAATGACTTAGATGAAGGGCTAGAAGGCATGATCATCAAGTTTTCAGACGACACCAAATTGGGAGGGATAGCCAATACTCCAGAGGACAGGAGCAGAATTCAAAATGATCTTGACAGATTAGAGAGATGGGCCAAAACTAACAAAATGAAGTTCAACAGTGACAAATGCAAGATACTCCACTTTGGCAGGAAAAAACGAAATGCAAAGATACAGAATGGGGGACGCCTGGCTCGAGAGCAGTACGTGTGAAAAAGATCTTGGAGTCCTCGTGGACCACAAGTTAAACATGAGCCAACAATGTGATGTGGCGGCAAAAAAAGCCAATGGGATTTTGGCCTGCATCAATAGGAGCATAGTGTCTAGATCTAAGGAAGTAATGCTACCCCTCTATTCTGCTTGGTTAGACCACATCTGGAATATTGTGTCCAATTCTGGGCACCACAATTCAAGAGAGATATTGACAAGCTGGAATGTGTCCAGAGGAGCGCGACTAAAATGATCAAGGGTCTGGAGAACAAGCCCTATGAGGAGCGGCTTAAAGAGCTGGGCATGTTTAGCCTGAAGAAGAGGCTGAGAGGAGATATGATAGCCATGTATAAATATGAGAGGAAGCCACAGGGAGGAGGGAGCAAGCTTGTTTTCTGCTTCCTTGGAGACTAGGACGCAATGGAACAATGGCTTTCAAACTACAAGAGAGGAGATTCCATCTGAACATTAGGAAGAACTTCCTGACTGTGAGAGCCGTTCAGCAGTGGAACTCTCTGCCCCGGAGTGTGGTGGAGGCTCCTTCTTTGGAAGCTTTTAAGCAGGCTGGATGGCCATTTGTCAGGGGTGATTTGAATGCAATATTCCTGCTTCTTGGCAGGGGGTTGGACTGGATGGCCCATGAGGTCTCTTCCAACTCTTTGATTCTATGATTCTATGATTTATCAGTTGGTTCCCTCTTAAGCAATGGTTCTCAACCTGTGGGTCCCTAGATGTTTTGGCCTTCAACTCCCAGAAATCCTAACAGCTGGTAAACTGGATGGGATTTCTGGGAGTTGTAGGCCAAAACACCCGGGGACCCACGGGTTGAGAACTGCTCTTAAGAAAGTTGTATAAACTAGTTTCATCTACAGGTACGATTAATCATAGCTAATATTAATGTAGGAATAACTTATTAGCCAATTATAATCCATTTGGGGAGCAAGAGAAAATTTAAACATAAAAACATAAGTGATAGAAGAGGCAGGGAATAAAAATTCCACAGCTGAGTGCTACAGGTTAAAATAAGATACTAGTGCACATCAATCAAGCTCTAATCATAAAAGCATGACTTTTTTTTTACACTTACCTGGATTCAAATGGCCCTTGCTTCTCAATGGGTCGCACTCGCTTCCTTGTCACAGACAACTTTGTCAAATCCATGCATTTTGTTTCCCCGTTGTTGTAGGTGAATTCAAGGATACTGTTCCATTCGCCTTGTACTCTACAAACCACAGTGTTGGTAGAATTCTGCTTCACTTCACCAGTAACTCTACAATCCAGTAGTTAAAAGGAAGACACAAAAACAGGTTGGTTAGTCCATGTTGCCTTTACATGGGATCATATTCAAATATATAACAGTGTAGTCTTAGTACAACAGAATTTGGATTACCACTACTTAGGTCTGTGTAAAAAATATGTTCCTAAGGTTTTGCTGTGTGGTTAATTTAAAACAGCCATCAAAGTAATAAGCCAAAGTTTCATGATGACTGCATTCTCTTTTTGTGGTTTTTAAAGACTGCAGCAATTTTACATTCTAAAAATAATTGTTTGCTATTACTGAAAGCAGATTCAAAATGAAACTATCTAAGCGTATGGCTCAGCAATTAATACTACAAGTAAAATGAGCAAGAAAATTCAAACAGCATGGGTAAAGCAGCATTTTTGTTAAAATGCAATAAGTGATATTAGGTCTCATTTTTATGGTTTTCAAGAGAATAATATTTTAAACTGGATAAAATTGATCCACATAGCAAAATATTACAGATTTTTCTGGCAGCTTGAATAGAAAATAAAATCATTTCTTCCTTTCTGCTTTATCTTTCTAATGGATCTGTATCTAAAGTCTAAGAAAATGCAAATCATAATGTTCCAAGTCAGCAGTTGACAATACAATTGACTCAGAAAACATCTGCATTTAAAAGTGACTCAAAAATATAGAATCACTATTTGTTGTGTGAAATATCAATTAACAACAGAGTCAATATGGCATTTCTTGTTTTAAAGATCATACAAAAGCTCTTTCAAATATTAATCCATAATGCTCCCATAACAAAATTGTATTTTCAACCAATTTTGCAGTATATGCTACACTTAGCTGACAATACTTACCGATGAAGCTTGCCACCATAGAAGGGTTTTGTGTGAAAAGTAATACTTGCAGAATATCCTGTTTTTGCACAATTAACACTGACTTTTCCTCCCAGTTCTACCCAAGGGACAGTTAAAATTGATCGAGCGTACGCACAAGGCAAGGAAAATGTATATTCCTCCCCATGTTCCAGTAGACTTAAAATACCTGTAATATAGAAAGGTGGGTATAATGTTCAAAAGTCACACATCTCATGCTTACATTATAGGATAAAGAAGGACAGGGAAAATGGGAAGGAGTCCCAGTATATTTCAGCATCATCAAAGGGATGATATTAAAAGACCTTTAAACGGCCACCATCCCCATTGTGCATTACTAAGAAACAATGTGGTGTCATCTAAAACATCACAAAGCAACAGTCCCTTCTATGAACTTGCAGAAAAACTCTATTTGGAAAAATAGCATTGCTGAAACTGTCATTATTACAATTAGTTCAACTATCATATGTTCCAAGCCCCTCCAACTGATATCTGAAACTGGATAAGAGGGAACCCTATATTTTGATCATACTTGGGCTGGAAACATACAACAGAATTGCACCGGAGGACTCAGAGAGACCCACAAACACTTTTGGGAGGGGGGATATCTTTTAAAGCATGGTCAGTGAAACTATAGATATTGAGTAAGAATATAAGGGGATCATAACATCACTGCAATGAAAGAGGTTTTTGGTTCAGAAATTATTTGGTTCATCTCCACCCTCTTTTCCCATTCAAGATGCTAAATAAATTTAGAATGAGGACAACTGTGACACTTACTCCCATAGACCGCCAAGGCGTTTTCTACCTTTCTGAATCTCCCTTGTATCAATATGTCATGGTGTTTTGGCAGTGACATAGTAACTGTTTAGTTCAGAAAAGTAGAACCGCACAATTTTGGATTACAAAAATGCATTTGCTGAACATGATGCTGAGGAAAACTAATCTCTGATGATGCTGATCCTGTGCCTCACCCCAGAGGCAATGATTTACATAATGTCCCATGTCCAATAATCGGAGGAGGCCTCGTCTATGTGCCCGAAATGATGTGCTTAAGGTCTGAAATTAACTGAAATTGCATAAACCAGTGTTTCTCAAGCTCTGCTCCTCCAGGCGTTTTGGACTTCAGCTCCCACAGTTCCTAACAGTTGGTAAGCTAGCTGGGATTTCTAGGAGCAAAAGCTCAAAACACCTGGAGGAACAGAGAAACAGTGATATAAACAAAAGGAGAAGTGGAAAAGCAACAATGGGATGAAATGAAGTCAGTGAATGAATATATAAGGATCAGGAAATTGGGATCATATAAGGCAGCAGTCCTCAAAGTAAGGCCCGGGGCCAGATACGGCCCTCCAAGGTCATTTACCCGGCCCTCGTTCAGGGTCAACCTAAGTCTGAAATGACTTGAAAACACACAACAATAGCAACAACAACAATCCCATTTTATCAGCCAAAAGCAGACCCACACTTCCCATTGAAATACTAATAAGTTCATATTTGTTAAAATTGTTTTTCATTTTAATTATTGTATTGTTTTTAAGTATCTTTTGCACTACAAATAAGATATGTGCAGTATGCATAGGAATTAATTCATGTTTTTTTCAAATTATAGTTCGGCCCCCCAACAGATTGAGGGTCTGTGACTTGGCCCTCTGTTTAAAAAGTTTGAGGACCCCTGATATAAGGCGATGAAGAGACACCTTCTGGAAACAGAAGCCTTTTTAACTATTAACAAGGCCACCTATGTACTTCAATTATCTAATTCTCCTCGGAAACAAGAACACTGTTTTTCTTTAAAATGCAATCATATACGCCAAGGACTCTGAAGAAAAAAAATGAGGAATTTCAACTTATTCAAGACACAGACATCTTTATTACAACAAAACCAGAGCTCAGGGGTTTGTCTACACCAGTGGTTCTCAACCTGTGGGTCCCCAGATGTTTTGGCCTTCAACTCCCAGAAATCCTAACAGCTGGTAAACTGGCTGGGATTTCTAGGAGTTGTAGACCAAAACACCTGGGGACCCACAGGTGGAGAACCACTGGTCTACACTGATAATAGAATGTTTTCTTCAAGGTTTCTCAGTGATATATGGATTAGACAAGGATGATGGGGAAAGGTTTTTAAAAGACAAAAATAGACAGGAGGATTTAGCTGAAAAATAAAGCAAGATTTTTATGTTTTTAGAAGTGATGCAGAGCGGAATGTCGGTTTTGAAATCTCCAGAAAAATCTGTATTCCTTAAGTGGAGGTAAAAAACAAACTATGGAGAAAGCCAAACAAAAAGTACAGTACTTTCTTGTTTGAAGACAAGGCAGAACATTTAATGACTATGCTACTACATCTTTCCACAATTT